AACTCAGGAAAAGGGGAATAAAAAATCACACTCTAGTCATCTTTTAACAAATGATGAAATAATTATCTATGAGTAAACAAGTCAATAAAAATCCGCTTGTTTATAATGGTATTCATAACTAAAATAATCGCACCATACAAGTGTCTAATAAATGTGGTACTATATATGTTCTAAACTCTAGATAAAAAATTGATAACTGATAATCACCTGTGTAACATAAAAAATATATAAATGTCGTTAATGTAACAAATTCATAATAAAAAGCTCACAAAGCGCAAAAATACATGGGTTTAAGAGGTAAAAAAATGTTGGTGCCGTAATAACCAATTATAATTTAGTAGTGGATAAATGGTGATCCCCCTCCTCAGGAATGCACTGCGATCACCAATGACGTCTCGGAGAGCCCGAGACCTGCACTAACGCCACTCGTCAGGGGCGTATCCTTGCAACAGATCTCACTGCCTGCACTCTACGTCATGCTAGTCAATATTGCAATATAATAGGACTACACTACAAAAGCCAAAAAAACCAATCCCTATCCCAGTTTTTGAAAACAGCTCCAACATTCTTAGAGATCTCGTGAGGGTGGTGAGGAATGCGCGTGGTATAGCTGTAAATATGTGTGTAAATACACGCACTCACAAAATAAAAAAAAGTAAATAAACACATATCCCTCATACATACATACATACATACATACATACATACATACATACATACATACATACATACATACATACATACATACATACATACATACATACATACATACATACATACATACATACATACATACATGCATACATACATACATACATACATACATACATACATACATACATACATACATACATACATACATACATACATACATACACCTGAACATATCTATACAAAATAGTGACAATAGAGCATATAGAATAGTGACAATGACAACAAAATAAATAAGAAGCAGCAGATAGCACATAATACTACAAAGTGACTTACCATTTTTTAATAAAGTAATGCCTAATATATATCTGTTTATATATATATATATATATATATATATATATATATATATATATATATATATATATATATATATATATATATATATATATATATATATATATATATATATATATATATATATATATATATATATATATATATATATATATATATATATGTGTGTGTGTGTGTATATTCACAATCCAGGAAATCATGACTCGTAACGATTTAAACTAGGATAAAAATAGTACGTGGTAAACAAACGTGGAGTTTAGTAAGACAATTTGTTCAGAGAATATAAATCTCACCTGATAGATAGAGATAATTCCTAACTGAAAATAGTATTAGATAATAAATAAATAGATTGAAACTCAAGATAGCCAGCTAACACACAATATAATTAGTGGATACACCAGAAATGAATAATAATTTAATATGTAAAATACTATATGAGAGTGGACCGATACAGGTCATAAACGCGTAATCGATCAAAGAGTATCTAGCGGACTTAAAAAATCAAGTTGAAAAACAAAGATTGTTTACATAATAGCCATAAGAACGCTATTGAAGACTGTATAGTGCAAAACTAAAACAAACTGGCTTATCGACGTCAGATAAATTTTTCTTAGGATCAAAAAAATCTAACAATATGGTAGTCGAATACAAAAAGTATAACCGAAATACATGGTATAAGCTATTAGAGTGACTAGAAGGTAATAGGAAAAAAAAAATTAAAAATTAAAAGGAAGTAAGTAAAGTAGCTAATCTACCACCTAAAGGGTGGTAAAAGTGATAAACAGATGGATCTGTCTTGTAAAGAACGCATGCTAAACTTAATTTATTTTTGTCTTGTTTTGGGGCGTTCCATATGTAAAAAGTGTATAGCAAAGTTTGATTGTTGTAGTCCTTGTGTAGTTAGCATGTATTATGTCAGATATAAAATGCATTCATTGTGATATTTTATTTTTTTATTCTAAATAAAATATGGATAAATCATTTTGTTTATCTTCAAGGTTTTTCCATTCACATGGATAAGGGTCCAAGTTTAAATACCTCATAGAATTGAGATAAATGTCAAAATAAAACCATCTATTTGAGTGGTTTTCAATGTTTCTAGCTAGCCACAGCAGTTGGTATATTCTTTTTTTATATTTTGCGCGGTTTTTTCTAAAGCCGAGAATAAGGAATTTGAAAATTAAGTATGGAGAGCATCCGTTACCAATGAAAAAAGTGTCATTTTGAATGTTTCAGTGTCAGCTATAGTTATGTTTCAGAATATTATTTGTATGGATAGTGGCCAGGTATTCATAGGGTGGAAGCATATTCCATTCATTTCTTTGTAAACGATGTATCGTTCTCTATCAAGACTTACGTTAGATAATGGGTTCGCGTCCTCCGTGGCTTGGCGAAGGAATATCTCTATAGCATGTTCATCCTAAAATAGCAGTTAAGTGTGTAAATCATTTGTTTAGTATCCTCGTGTAAATATGTCTAAGCATTTTGTGTAAGGGGTATAAACAAAAGCCCTCTAGTAATTTTCTGGTGTATTTATAAGCAAATTATAAACTGTAAGCGTCGAACGAATAATAATATAACAATTTGGCTTATTGATAGATCATGTAATAAGGTAAAAAACATAAACAACATAGGCGGTATATTTTATGTGTAAAATAATTGAAATACAAAATTGTAACATGCAGGTAGGGGTAGAAGTACGTCCTACCAGCTGAAAACAAACTAGAGCAAACAGTGGATGTTCAGTTATTGTGATTGGCAGTGTATTTAGTGCGGATAAGTCTATCTCTGAGGGAAAGTGTGTTAGTGTGTGTGAGGGTGGGTACCGGTGGAAATAGTGTGCAGAGTTCTGGGTCATTGTGGATAAGGTGCCAGTTGTGTAATATCACGTTGTTGATACGTATACCTTGTTCATTGTATGGTGTGACTATGGGGAAGATGTGGGTGTCATCGGCTTCTTTGTTTTTGTGGATAAGATCTTTCTGTGTGTGTAATAGGGCTTTAGTGATGTTCCTGTTAAAAATATCAAGATGGTACCCCTTAAGAACCAATTGGCGCGCTAATGTGCGGAGCTCCTTATATAAGTGGTGGGAGTCAGATATAAGCCTATTGTATCTGATCGCTTGGCTGTGAATGAGACCTGATGTGATATGATGTGGGTGGTATGAACTGAAATGTAGAAGGCTCATTGTGTCGGTGGGTTTACGGTGAATTGTGTTCTGTATTTTATCTAGATGGTTCTTGTAGAGAGTTAGGTCCATAAAGTCAATGGAAGTATCTTAATGGTTAAAAGTAAATTTAATGGTGGGGTGCAGGTTGTTCATAAATGTTATAACATGTTCGAGATCTTCTATAGTGCCTGTGAATATGAAAAAAATGTCATCGATGAATCTTATGTAGAACGTGATGCTGTCTTTAAATTGTCCAGTGACGGCTTCGTCTAATGTGCCCATGAATATGTTAGCGTATGGTGGTGCCATGCGTGTACCCATCGATGTCCCTGTCATCTGTAAATAGTTGCGGTCGTCAAACTGGAACGTCGTGTTTGTCAGAATGGTGTCAATCATAATCTGTATATATGCTACAGGTGGTGAATTGGGTGGTCTTAGGTCATGTGGTATTTTATTAAAAAGTAGTTTGATGGCTTCTATACCATCCTTATGGGGTATGTTAGTGTACAGGGAGGTAACGTCAGCGGTGACAAAGATGTATTTTTGAGGCGGTAGTGGTTGATTTTGGAGCATGTGAAGAAATTGTGTGAAGTCTCTAAAGTATGATGGAAGTGTTTCGGCTAGTGGTTGTATGAATTTAGTCACAAAGTATGAGAGGTGGTCTGTGGGACCATTGCAAGCATATACAATAGGTTGGAGAGGAATTCCAGTTTTGTGTATTTTGGGGAGTCCATAGAACAGGGGAGGGCGACAAGGATTGTTTGGACGTATGTAATTTGCAGTCTTTTCGTCAATCACTCTATTGAATAAGATGTAATCAACTGTCGATACAACGTTCCGTGCCATTTCTATGGTGGGGTCGTATAGTAGGAGTTTATATGTGGTATCATCTGCTAGCATGGTGTTAATTTTCTCTTCATAATCTCTCCTGTTTAAGATGCAGATGCTACCACCTTTGTCAGCTAATTAATTAAGTTAATTGGAAGACATTTAGTATAATTTTGAAAAACAGTTAATTGGAAGACATTTCTTATAATTTTGAAAAACAGTTAATTGGAAGACATTTAGTATAATTTTGAAAAACAGTTAATTGGAAGACATTTAGTATAATTTTGAAAAACAGTTAATTGGAAGACATTTAGTATAATTTTGAAAAACAGTTGGAAGACATTTAGTATATAGTATGTATGGATATAACATACTATTGTGGATGGTATCATCTAGTTTATGTTAGTGCTACATTATTTCTTTTTTTTTCTTGTATTATATATGTGATAATAATTGCATAATTGCATAATTATGCAATTTTGCAATTGTTTAATTAATTTGTTTAATTAATTGCAAAATTGCAATAATTGCATAATTTAACTGAAGTAGTAAATACTTTTTAAGCCTATTTTGTGCTTTGTAATGGCTTTTTAGTCAGTAGTACTGTTGTTTAATGACAAGTTTACTGATAGAAATAGTAAAAGCTATATTATTTACTTTTTTTAATATATTTTTAATAAAGTACATTTTTTTTGTATTTGGCTTACTTTTTTCTTTTTTTACACACAGACATAGACAAACACAAATTTGTAGAAAAAAAAACATTTATCTTCTGTTAACTTCTTCTGTATAATCACCAGGAAAAAGTTCTTCCTGATGAATCTACAGTAGGAAAAAGTGACACTAGAAGATAAAAGTTAGAAATATATATATTTCTGTATATGTATCCTTTCTCATATCTAAAACTATTTACATTTGTATGATAATTATTATATTATTATTATTAATATTGTTATCACTTTTATTATAACAATAATAGTATAATTTTTTTAGATATTTTAGTTCAAATGCTCAAGAAACAGTTGATAAGAAACAAAAGCTTGCAGAACCACTTTTATTTGAAAGTGATTCTTGTGATAGTCTTTCGTGCAAAAGCTGTTCTTGTAATATCTTGTCCTCTAATAGTCAGTCTTGCGATAGCTGTTCTTGTGATATCTTGTCTTCTAATAGTCAGTCCTACAGTAGCTGTTCTTCAAATAGCCAGTCTTGTGAAACAATGATAGAAAAAGGAATTGAGTTAAATACATCACAAGATCTCAGCTCTCAAAATGATTTTGACAATACAGAGTCATCTATTAGCTATTACAAAAGAACTTTAAAAATGGGAGAATCAGTTCTTCCAATAAATGAAAAAAATATTTTTGCAAGTAATTGCAAAGATGCAAGCATTAGTTATTTGACTAATAAAAATTTGTCTGAAGAATATCAAGAGATAGTTAATTTCAATAAAGATTCATTCCAAGAAAACGCAGTTGATAGTAACTCTAATATCTTCATACAAAAGTGTTTTACCAAAAAAAAATTGATTGAAGAGACTGCAACTAAAAAAGATTTAATTGAAGAGACAACTAGTAAGTTTTCTAAACAAACCAACTTTAAGTATTTTACCAAAAAGAATTCGTTTGAAGAATGTGAAAGAAAAAACAGTTTTTCTGAACAGACTAATGAAGCTTCTTATTCACACATATCAAAAATGCTAAATTCATTTAAAAGAGATAAAAACATAGTACTTAGCAACAAGTGTATTGACCAAATTAGCGTTGATTTAACAGTTAATGAATGCTGTGATGAAGAGCCATTAAGTATTTTAAAAAATCAGGTACTTTCTTGTTTAACCAGTTTGCTTTCTTGTTTAGCTAATTTGCTTTCTTGTTTAGCCAATTTGCTTTCTTGTTTAGCTAAAATTTATTTATTTTTTAGTTAGTGTTTATAATAAGCTTTTTTTTTAATTCTGTTGGCAGTTGTTATTGTAAATAAAGTCCATTTTGCAGTTGTTATTGTAGATTAAGTCTATTTTGCAGTTGTTATTGTAGATTAAGTCCATTTTGCAGTTGTTATTGTAGATTAAGTCCATTTTGCAGTTGTTATTGTAGATTTCCATTTTGTAATTATTGTAGATGAACTCCATTTTGTAATTATAGTACAGCAAATTAATTATATGAGTAAAATTTTATAAAAATAAAATTTACTCATGTTATAAAAATAAAATTTTAAATGTTTAAAAAATATAAATTTAAAAAAAACTTTTTATACTAATGAATAATTATGTCATATTGCTTGTTTTTATACCAAAAATATTTGAGAAAGTTCGAAATTTAAAGAAACTTGAAGGAATTAAAATCTTGAGGAGTTTTTTTATTTTTTTGTTTTTTATTTTATTTTTGTAAAGGGGGAGGGAGTGGTTCAAGTCTTGGTATTGATGATAATTCTGTTGATTAACACTCATTGGTTCATATTTCATTTTTTTGCTTATTATTAGCTTTTGGTTTAAATATTTTTTCCAATTTCAATTTTTTTTACAAATCATGAAATTTTAATTTTTGAATCAAAAATTAGCGATTTTTTATGATATTTTATTTTTTGCATATTTTTTAATTTTGATATTTTATTTTAAAACTTAGAAATTTAAATATTTTTTTTAGACAGAAAAAGTTTCACCAATAAAGAGAGGTAATTTTGTATATAAATTATTTGTTTAAATAATAATTTGAAATTTCCCAAGTTTTTATATTTAAAACTTGTTTAAGTAAAGTCTTGCAAATTTCAAATGATCACAAAATTATTTATAACTTGAAATTTAATAATTGTAATCGAATGTTTTTGATTTAAGTTAGCATCTGCTAAGGCTGCTTCTCTTAGCATTAGCTAGGTTGCCATCTTCTTACTCCTGGTATTATTCTTTACCTCTACATATATCTTATTCATCCCTGTATGGAATCTTTTTTGGGCTGGTTCTTCTAATAATGCTGTTTCTCTTCTAGACAAGGTCCAAAACTTATTGTAAATGTAGTTAGCCCTACATTTACAAACCCTACATTAACATTTACATAACCCTATATGCCAAGCTTGAGTCACTCTCCCATCGTTATAAAGTTGCGTCTCTTTCTCTTTACTACAAATACTATCATGGTCGCTGCTCAAAGGAACTATTATCTCTAGTTCCACTAATCAAAACTCATTCTCATTTGACTTATAATTCAGCAAAGTCACATCCTTTTACTGTATCTTTTCTTTTTAAATCTTCTGTCAACCGTTTCCTTGCACTTAACACTAGTCTTTGTTTTTTAGTAACTTCCGACTTAATAGAAGAAGTCATAATATAAAATATGTTTAATTGAATAAGATAACACCCAATTTTAAAAATAGGCTCCTCAAACTTTTAGAACAGTCTCCATTCTTTACACTATTGAGACTAAATGAAACTATCTTTAGACAATATATAGTTGTTATTTTATGACATCACACTTTCATTATATTTTTTTTCAGATCTGCTAGTTCTCTTTAAATATTTTGCTTTCAATTTTACAGCTTTTGATGTTCAACTGCCTGGCTCTGAGGCAACAACATTAATCATATATTCTTGGAGTCATATCTTGACAGTTTTTGCATGATGGCAAGTTGCTCATTTCTGCATGAAAGATCAAACTTTCTAATTTGAAACAAGTTAAAAATATTGTTCTTAAAAATTTCCAAATAATTCACAGAGTTGACAGCCTCACCTTGTTGTGAAAGATGTAAACAAGTATGATTGTCGGCGATGATTGCACCCTAAATCATAATTACCAGGCATTGCCAAACAGAAATTGCAATTTATTGGGGATTGCAGTATGAATTTGGTGACTTAGTTTATTACTAAGAGCTGGATTAGATTTGTGAAAGAATTTGTCAACTTGAAATCTGTATTTCCTTCACAGCCAAATCGTTTGTCAGTTTTTCAAGTGGTGATTCTTGGTCTTTCACAGGATATTCATGGATCAATGCCATTTTATGACTTGAATGATAAACATTTGTTTTAGGCATCTTCTAATGTGCAATAATGTTAAGACTTACCATGTTAAATATTCTAATCACTCGTTCAGACTTACCATGTTACTATATTTACCAACAAATCATGTTCAGCACTTGTCTTTAGGCTGTTGCCATTGAAATGTTTAGTTTCTGAACATACATAAATTATAAACTAAATTTAAAGTTTAAATTATAATATTTCACCAATTTATTTAGAAGGTCTTTCAAATAGCATAACTTCCTTGTAACTTGTGTATAAAAAAGTTTAAAATAATTAACTTTTGAAAATTGGGTGTTATCTTATTTAATTCAGCCACTACGCATTTGATTTGGATTCAATTCAAACTATACTAACCCACCATCACCAAAAACTCTCAGTTCTAAGCTCTGTTTTACTTTTATTTTTTTATTTTTTATTGTAGTATTTTCATCATCTCGCTGCAAATCTATTGGACTTAGTCGAAATAAAACAAAAAAGCCTTCAATGTCTAAATTTTCAACTGATTTTAGTAAGCAAACTAAAATCAACTTCGATAAGTTTGAGTTTCGTAGAAGCTTAACAATAAAGTAAGAATCTTATATTAAAAAATATAGTGTTATGTTTTTTTTTAGGTGCATACATGGTAAATAAATTTATTTAAATAAATTTTATTAGTTTTAAAAATGTTTAGTTGATATTGTCATGTCTTTGTGAAGATATACTTTTCAAAGCTTCATATGATAAACAATTTTATACTTAATAAGGGTGTTTCATAAGTTGTGTATATGCTTTTGGTTTAAATATTTAAACAAATATAATTTTATTTTACATTATAATTATAAAAGTAAGAAAGTAATATGTAATAGATTCAACTTGTTTTCTATAGCTCTTGGCTTTTTCAATCATTTCAATCATTTGTCTATTGTTATAGACTTTTGTACAGTTTCCTCTGTACTTTTGTACAGTTTCCTTTATGCTTTTGTACAGTTTCCTCTGTACTTTTGTACAGTTTCCTCTGTACTTTTGTACAGTTTCCTTTATGCTTTTGTACAGTTTCCTCTGTAACAATAGAATGAATGCCTCTAGATTTTCTTGGCCCTGTACATTGCCTGTCTCCTAAGAATTTTCAACCAATTTTTAAATTGTTTACTCATGAGGTGGCAGAGTGGTAAATGATTTTTCCATCGCCTTCTAACCTCTTAAAAGTTCTCAAATTTAGTAAATAATAAAAATTTGAATTTTTTCTTTAATCGAAAGTCGGAAGTTATGGTTTTTTATATAAATCTAAATTAATAATTAAATTTTATATATGTGAATATAATTATACTTTATATATGAATATATTTTTGATAAATGTATTATGATAAGTAGGAACAATTTTATTGTTTCCCATTTTTAATAACAACGTATCATAATAAAATTACTGATACTTTTGATTTAGTCTAGTTTGTTTTTTTCCTTAAAGTATCATAATTTATGTGGTCAAAAATGATGCCATGGTTTTATTTTTTCAAAGAAAAAAAATTTTTAGCAACAGTCATCTTACAATTTAATTGTAAAAAAAGGTTGTTGATTACAAGGTGAAAAAGATTGGATAAAAATTGTGCAAAAGGTTGTTGATTACTAGATAAAAAAGATCTTAGTAAACTGGTAGAAAGATCTACAGTGTTCAAGATGGTGTTCTAAGTTACCTTACAATTACTCAATGTGATTGGTAGTATTATGAACTGCAATCAGTTGGTAAGACAAAATGGTAGGTTTGACAAAATAAGCAGTTTGTTGAAATAAATTGAAATGATATATCATAAAGGAAAATATAACAGAAACATCATGACATTTTTAAGAGACAAAACATTAAATTTTGTTAGTAATATAAAAACTGTCTAAAGTATGTTTTATGGTATTTGTTAAATTTTCAGGTACAGAACTCTAAATAGGTTTGATAAAAATTTTCTTTCAATATTATTTTTATAACTGTACAATGAGTACAGTTAAAAAATAAAAAAAATAAAAAATATATATATTTATATCACAGAAATGTATACAAGAGTGTATTTTTTATAATACCCTAACATTTTGTCATTGTTTTTTGTTTTTTTTTATCCTTTAATCAAAACTTTATTAAACATTGTTTTTATTATTTATTAGTAATATATTTTTTTTTGTTGTTTTATTTTCAGATCAGAAGATGTTTTGTGTGTTACATAGAAATAATTAAAAGTTTGTTTCTGAAGAATCTTGTTTGAATCTTATTTTCCTTTGTTACTAGTTGTTATTTATAAAGAGCTTTATTTGTTTATCATGTATTTTTTAAAGAAAATATTTTGTAGCATGTTTAAAGAATAAATTTTTTTTTGAATTAATAATAAAATTTTTTTTTTGTTGAGATTTTTAAATTTTTTACAAAGTAAAATGAATAATACTTTGGGCAATTTATACACATATACATAAAAGTTTAGAAAACTTTATTGCATAACATATTTCATAAGAGTATGACATACTGTGCTAGAGAAGATTGCCAAAAATACAAAGATCATTTTGAGTCAGGTTTCTTTTTTTTTTCTTTTTTAATCAAATCATTATATTGCACACAGTTTTAGGATATAGTTACATAAGATCACATATTACTGTGAAATACTGTGGTTGTGAAATAATGAATGCAACAACAAAAATTTTCTTTTTTATAGGTATTTATGTTTGCTCTCAATGCGAAAATCCTTTGTTTCATGGAAAGTCAAAATACAAACATAGTTCTCCTTGGCCAGCTTTTACACAACCTATGCATGATTGCAGTCTTAGAAAGGAAGTAGAGACTGAGAAGCAGACATCTTCTGACAAACCTGCACTAAGGGTTTTTAATATTTAATTATTTCATAAATTTACTTATTTTTTTCACAAAAAAAATCTTTAAAAATGTTGTTATTAAATTCAAATTACAATAATATCAACAACAATAACAATAATAATAATAATGAGATTAATAATAACAAAAATAAACAATTATAATTTTAAAATAAATTATTACAATAATTAAATTAGAGTATTTATAATTAATTAAAAGAATTTATTAAAAGTTATTATAGTTTAAATGATTTCATTTTTGAAAAAAAAAATCTGTTATAATGGCAATAACAAATATAAGTATAATAATAATTTATATGTATAGGTGTATATATATATATATATATATATATATATATATATATATATATATATATATATATATATATATAGCCTTATAATTATAATAATAGCCTAGTTATAAATTTAAGTAAGATTCATTGAGTGCAAGTAACATTAAATCTTATTTGCATATCACTTATAAAATCTTTTTTTTTTTTGCTTTTAAAAATATTTAAAATACTTATATAAAAACTTAAATATAAAATTTTTTTAACGATTATAAATTTTTTTCACAAATTTTTTACTTTTGGAAATTTTTAAAAAAATTTAGTAGTTGTAAAGATTAAATTATTTAGTTTTGCTGAAAAGTAAAAAAAAAAAGTATGTAAAAACTAAATGATTAAAAGTATGTAAAAACTAAATGATTAAAAACTAATAGTGTAAATTTTATCACAATACATGTTTGTACATATTTGCTAATCCATGTTTGAAACCAGAAGCAGTTGTAAAAAATAAAAATGCTTTGAAGGAAGTGCCCCAATTTTCAGTTTGAAAGTTTGCGTACCAATAACCAATAACTTTACCGTGCAGCATTGCCTTAACTTTGTCTAAATTTGAACAAACCAATTTGCATGCTAGTTATTTTACAGAATCTGGAATGATCCATCATTGTTTTGTTTTAGTTACTAAACGAATTCATCTGGTTATTTGACACTACGGATACACGACAGCTGACAAGACATGCGATATTTAGTGAAAGCTGTGATCTACCACAAAATGTTCTACCAATTAACTTTCAAATTGCAAAGAGATTTTTACAACTGAAAAAATAGCAAAATGATTGTAACAAAGACAAATACAAAATTGTTGCTTAAAATGTTTTGGGATTGTGGAACAAGACTTTAATTTTAACTTGCAGATTCAATCTGTGGTGAAACGCATTGAAAATCCATTTCTAAAGGTTGCGCTGATTTCCAGAAGTGCTTGGATTCCTTGTTTTATATTGCATCATGTAATTGCTTAATGTTACACAATAAATCTACCAAGCAAGTATCTGTTTCCTTCAAATGTCCTAGTGAATTGAAGGCTCCACCGATAGAGCAATTATTCCTACTGGATAAAACAAATTCTTGTCGTATGTTTATGGTGGTGTTAATACAGTAATAACGTCCAAAGATTCAGTTAAAATGAAAGCATGCTAATAAAGAACGACTTTCGACATACATGATCATATAAAGCTAAGAAGTTAAGTTTTCAATGGTAGATATTACTAAAACGAACTTAAGTGAAGAGGATAATGATAGTGAATTTTATCTCAGTGACAATGGTTTCTTGCACGCTACTGCAGGGCTAATGAGAACACCCCTACTAAATCTACCCAAAGAAGCAGATAGATATGGTATATCAGATTGAGCTACATCTCTCGAAACTGCAGTCCTTTTTGATGTTGGCATGATTACTAAGGATGATCAGAGTTTAATGGTTGACAAAAGCTTCGGCGTGAAAGACTTAAATTAAAGAAGACTTTGCGTAAGGAGGAAAACAAGTTAAAGCATCACAGGCATTTACTTAGAAAAGATCCAATTTTAGTAAAAGTTATCAGAGACAATAAGTGGCATAGTGACATAACTGTTGAAAAACATTATGTAGTGGTAGTAGAACCAGGTGGGAGTATCTCACTCATATCAGGTGGGAGTATCTCACTCATATCACACCAGGTGGGAGTATCTCACTCATATCACACCGACATTGCGAAAAACTATTAATTTCAGCAACAGGTTTATCTCAGTCATTTCTGAATAAGGCGCAAATCATACTTCAACCTTCCCTTTTATACATATATATATATATATATATATATATATATATATATATATATATATATATATATATATATATATATATATATATATATATATATATATATATATATATTTGGGAATTAGAAAAGTGTGAGATCGGCAATAATTTGCAAAAAAAGTTTGATAGAAAGGTTTTACCTAAAAACATAGAAACAAGGTCGGCATTGCCGAATGCCAACCCTTATTTTCGGAGGCCTATATATATGTATGTTTCGAGGTATATATGTATGTTTGTATATATGTATGTTTCGAGTTCCGAGGCCTGTATATATGTATGTTTATATATATATAGATAGATAGATAGATAGATAGATAGATAAATAGATAGATAAATAGATAGATAAATAGATAGATAGATAGATATAGATATACAGTTGCGAAAAATAAAATAGCACCACTAAGCGTATTTTCCTTTTTGTTAAGAAAACACCATGCAAAATAAAAAATTTTTATAGCTTTGCTGTTTAAAATTTTAGCTAACATGTTTATTTTCTAAAACAAATCGTTTTGGGAAAAAAACTGCTTGGTGTTGCTCGATTTTAATCAAAAATGCTAATTCTGACCAAAAAATAAAATAGCACCAAAAAATTCTGTTGTAAAATACTCTGATAATGATAAAAATAATTGTGAAACAAGCAAGCGTTGGGTTTAATTTTTGCTGTTTTGTTCGTTTTATGTTAGTGCGTATTAGTAGGAGACATTTACATATAAAAATGGGACGCGGAAAGCATTGTAGTGCAGAAAAACGAGAACTGATCCGAAAGTTGATATCAGCAGGGAAATCTTATAGAGAAGTTGGTCGTTTAGTTGAGTGTTCCTATAAAATGATAAGAAATGCCATAAAATTTCAAGAAAAGCCTGAAACACGTGATCGAAAACGTTCTATTTCAACATCGCTTAGTCCGATAGGCTAAAAAGAAACCTTTTAAAATAGCTACCGAGCTAAAAAAGGACTTTAACATCGATGCAACAGTACAAACAATTTGGAGTTGTCTGCGAGTTAAAGGATTAAAAGCCTGTAGCCCCAGAAAAGTTCCACTTCTAAGTACCAAACATGTTGTAAAGCGTATTGCGTTTGCTAAAAAACACTCAAATTGACCACTCAAAAAATGGAGGAATATTTTATGGACAGACGAAAATAAGATTGTGCTTTATGGTGGAAAAGGCTCTCGGGCATATGTCAGAAGACCGCCGAATACAGAATACAATCCAAAATATACCATCAAAACTATTTAACATGGAGGCATGTTAAATAGTTTTGATGGGTATGCTTTTCTTATTACGGAGTAGGGCCCATTCATCACATACTATACTGGATCAATATGTTTATGTTGATGTATTGGATAAAGTGATGTTGCGTATGCAGACTAGGAAATGCCGTTGTCAAAGAGTGTTCCAACAGGACAATGACCCAAAGCACACTAGGAAAAAAGGAGAAGAATTGGTTTGAGGAGCATAAAGTGAACGTTATGGAGTGGTCAGCACAGTCGCCAGAACTTAACCCAATCGAGAATTTGCGGGCTGACGTAAAGAAGGTGGTTGCTGCTGCCAAACCCACCACGAAGGAATCACTTTGGAACGTAATTAAGGAGGCATGGTGTGAAATTCCGCTAAAGCGATGTCAGGACTTGGTTAACTCGATGCCAAGACGTTGTGTAGCCGTCATTGCCAATAAAGGTCACGCTACAAAATACTAATGTGTTAAGAAATTACTAATATTTATTGTAAAATGTTTAAAACAATTGATCTCATTTTATTTCCTTATTTTAAAGTACACATTAAAGCTGTGGTCCTATTATTTTTTTCGCGTTTTATTTGATTTTTTTTCGAATTTTTGTTTAATAAATGAATACTTTATATTAAAACTTGTATATTTTGTTTTTTATAAAAATTATAAGCCATATTACTTTTAAATATGTATTTAAAATATTTTCAAACTATCAAAAATAGTTAAAAATTCTAATTTCAATTTACTTTTGTTTTAGCTCTTTTGTGGAAAATGTGACAATATTGTTGGTCATGAATTTATTGGTGATGGACCTCAAAATTCTTCAAGATTTTGAGTTTTGTCAGATGCTCTTAAATTTGTATCAATTTAAACTGAAGTAACTAAAAGGGTGATTTTTTATTTTTTTTTTCAGTTATTTTTATGTATGATAAATGTGTTAATAATGTTTTGTATAGGTTAGAGCGGGGCTAGTTGAGCAATTTTTACTAAATCTAACTTTTATGAACAGTGCGTCGGTTTTACATAATTTTTTCACTATTGGAAAGATAATTTAACCTGCTAAAAGTTGGTTTTAAAAGTCTTTTTTTTTTTATTTGATTGAAACGATAATACCTAACGTTTACTGAGCTGCTCAACCTGGCCAACGGAATAAGTTGAGCAATCAAAGAATGAATGAATATACATGATATAAAACTTATATAAATCATCAATAAAATAATTAAAGTAAAATTTGGTTTCCAATAGCTGTAAAAATGTTATACAACAGGTGTGTGTTTTAGTTGTACAACAATTGTTGCCGAAATCGATTTAATGCTGTTTCTGCAACCTTTGTTTTACAATATAAACTACGTTTTTTTGTAAAAACTGCTTCACTTACCCTTTCTAGACAAAGTAACACATAAGTTAAGATAAAGAACAGTAAGACTTATGAGAAAAACGGCTAATTATAATCGAAAGTCCGATAAATTGATAAAATCAACACCTTTATTGATGGCATATAAAAAAAATTTATAAGCAGCTTAGAGAAAAATAGTTTTTTTTCTTTTTTTAATTTTTAGGTCCAAAAAATAAAAGTGCCCATGCATCTTACTTGACTGCCGTCCAACAACTTTTTGTTGCGTATTGTGTTATCATTTATGATATTCATTAAATGTTTTATACGATGCGTAGTTTTTAATTGCCCAATTTACCCAATTACCCAACAATGTTTAACTATTCCGCTCTACCCAACAAAACGATAAATTTTAATTTAAATAACAAATTTAGGCTACTATTAAATACTTTTCTTTCTCGCAACTCTTTATCTTTTATATTATTTACTTTTACCTTGAAAATCGATATTTTATTTTAAACGATAATTTTATTGGTATTTTTTGCGTATCCTTGTGGATACGCAAAAAATACCAATAAAAACCCTCACAGACACACGCTAAATACCAATGTAATCCTCGCAGGCATATATACATATAAAACTAATTTTATAGCTGTTTCAGTGTCTCGATAAAACAGTTAATACCCCTCTCTTAATATACGTTATAATTTGAAAATTGAAAGCAATATTTTGTATTAAATATTTTTATTTTAGAATTAAACGGTTGAAGTTGGTTATTATGAAATAAAACCCGCAAATCATCTCGTGAATGGGTTTTGTTGAAGCATTCTGTTTATATTCCTAAAAAAAAGAAAAAAAGCGATCAACAAAAAAAAAGTTTTTTCTTTGAATCCCCTCATACCTCCTCCTTCTCCTCATACCTTCTCCCTTTTTTTCTTGTTGCACTTTAACTTTTTAACAACCGATTTTTTTAATAAGTCGCTAAAAAAGGGAATTATAAAAACCGATGTTTCCGATCACTTCCCGATTTTTTTTTCTATATGTGTTATTTTAAAAAAAGAGAAGCAGGGAAAGGTTTTAATAAAAAAACGGCTTATCAACAATAATAATTTAAATTCTTTCAGAGAACAAATATCACATATAGATTGGGGTTATATTAACTTTAATGATAATATCAACATAATCTACGACAATTTTTTCAAAACTTTTTACCAAGTGTATGATTCCTACTTTCCTTTAATTGAAATAGTTTTAAGCGATAAAGAAATGTTATCTCCCTGGATTACTAAAGGTATCAGAAAATCATCAAAAATTAAGCAGAAGCTATACATTAAATACCTAAAATCAAAATCAGAAAAACATAAACAAAATTATAAAACTTATAAAAACTTATTTGAAAAGCTTCGCAAAAATGCAAAAAAAACTACTATTCAAACTTGCTTAATAAATATAAGCACAACTCAAAACGCGTCTAGCAAATCATGAAGGAGGTGTCTGGAAAACTTAAACCAAATAAAAATTTACTCCCAAATTTTATACAAATTGAAAACAAATTAATAAATGACCCAAATGATATTGCATTTGAATTTAACAAGTTTTTCTCCACTGTCGGGACAAAATTAAGCGATAGTATTTCATTCATTAAAGATAAATCTGTTGACGAGTTCGAAACATCAATAAGTTCTAATCTAAATTTTACTGAGTTAGCTTTTAATGAATTTAATTTTAATGAATTTAATTTAAGTCATTAAAACGAAATAAAGCTACTGGGTATGATGATATTAACACAAATATTGATTGATTCATACAATGTTATAAAAGGTATTCTTTATAAAATCTTCAGAGCATCCATTTCACAAGGATCTTTTCCAGATAAACTAAAAATAGCGAAAGTAACTCCAATCTTCAAGACAGGGGATCGTGCAATTATAACAAATTATCGCCCTATTTCAGTTCTTCCAGTTTTTTCAAAAATTTTAGAAAGAATAATGTACAACCGAATCTACTCTTATCTTGTTGAAAATAAAATTCTATACGAAAACCAATTTGGTTTCAAAAAAATAATTCAACCGAGCATGCCATTCTTCAACTTACGCGCAATATAACCGACTCATTTACAGACTCTTGTTTTACACTAGGAGTGTTTATTGATTTGTCCAAGGCATTTGATACCGTCAATCATCAAATCCTGTTAAAAAAAACTAATATCATATGGTATTAAATATAAAACCCTATTATGGTTTGAAAGTTATCTTACTAACCGTAAACAGTTTGTTTACAATAAAGATTCTATATCTCATCTATTAATGAATATAACATGTGGTGTTCCACAAGGATCCATACTTGGTCCTCTTATTTTTTTAATATACTTAATATGATCTTCATAAATCATCAAATTTAACAACAATAAATTTTGCAGATGACACAAATTTATTTTTGTCTCTTAAAGATATTAATATGCTTTTTACAAATATGACAAATGAATTAAAAAAAGTTTCTATTTGGTTTAAACAAAAAAGATTGTCTCTAAATATAGAAAAACTAAATGGACACTTTTTTATCCACCTTTAAAATACCATAAACTGCCCCATATCATGCCAGACCTTCTAATTGATAATACAATAATAAAAAGAGAAAAAGTTACTAAATTTCTTGGAGTATATATTGATGAAAACCTATCTTGGAGAAATCATATTGATAATACCTCTAATAAAATTGCTAAATGCATCGGAATTCTCTATAAAGCAAGAAATATATTAAGTAAACACCAGTTAACACAATTATATTATTCATTTATACATTGTCATATAAACTAAGCGAATATTATATGGGGAAGCACTCACAGAACAAAGCTAAAATCTCTTTACCTTCATCAGAAGAACACGCAACTCGCGTAATAAATTTTAAAAATCGGTTTTTTCACACGAAACAACTTTTTAAAGAAATGAATATTTTAAATGTATATCAACTAAATGTATTTAATATTTTATGTTTCATGTTTAAATGTAGAGAAATTTTGTAATACATTTGTCGCCAAATGTATTACAAAATTTTTATTGTATGAAACCTAAAAACAAATATAATTTTCGAATTAATAACAGTCTTATAGCCCCTATTTGTCGTAAAAGCAAAGACCAGTTCTTTGTTTCTTACCGAGGTCCTTATCTCTAGAACAAAATAGTCTTACCAAATTTTGATTTTTCAACCCAACTGACTTTTGCTTCATTCAAACAGAAACTTAAAAAAATTATATTTTTAATTGAAAATATCTTGATTTATTTTTAATTGCCTTTTTTTTTGTTGTTTTTGTTGTTGTTTTATTTTGTATATTATTTGGTTTAAAATTTTATCTTGGCTTTTTATCACTTTATCTTGGTTTTTATATATTTTTGCATAGAGGTGTATTATTATTTCACTACAGACATTGTATTTTTATCAAAAGTTAACCATATATTGTAAAGGGCTTCATGACAAGATCCTCATGATCTTCTAGAAGTCCTGTCGTTACTAATGTAAAAATTGTAAAATATAATTAGTTATTGTAATATTAAACGGCAAAAATAAAAAAATAATAATAATAACTGAAAAAATTGATTTAACAATTTAAAAAAGTTTCATAACAGTTTTTCCTATAAATTTATTTTAAAAATTAAAAATCGACAAAATAACTGAGGAGCCCATTTGCAAAACGCAGTAAGTCCGCGTAAACTGATTTTGAAAACTAAACTGCGCATCAACAGAAATTAAAATTTTCTTTGTCCATTTTTAGGACCAAATATTGGTCCGATATTTAAATAGATAGATTTAAGTATGTAGAACGTGGAAATAGAATTAACTCAAAATTTTTGTGAATTATAGCGCGTTTTGCAGATGGGCTCCTTAACTAAAGACGGAAAAAGAAATTAGAAATTTTGGAATGCTACTGAAAATTCCTGAAAATCATATAAACGCTGTTTTTCTAATGGAATTTCGACTACTATGTCGAGATTTATTTGAAAACTCTATGTTAAATTTATGTTTGTTGAGAATAAACTTTATTTATAATAAAAATTTTATTTTTTTTAATTATTATCCGAGGACGCAGACAAAAAAATATTTTATGTTTGAGCTAAGCAACTTTGAAACATGAAGACTCCATATTTAAGTATGTTCATATATATAAGGATTGAGGATGCTTTTTTTTTTTTTCAATCTTAACTTATATTCAATTCAATTCAATACTTAACTTATATTCATCGACAAATTTTAAATTTGATTCAAGAATCTCTTGTTGTTCGGCATTTATGACCATTTAATATAATTATAAGGTCATGGTAACATTATTTTTGCTATGGATACCTAAATTATTTAGCAACCACATCTTTTATTACCTTAATAAGTAATAACCCTATTGGATTTCTCCCATACTTACCACATTGAGTATTTAGATACTACAAATATAGTGGTACTACGGATTTTTTATTTGGTTGATAGTGAATAAAATGCCTGACGCTTCATTTTGCATAGTTACTAGCTTAACCTAGTGGGCCGGACCAAAATAAGATGTCTTTTGAACGTTCAAAAGACGTCCAAAACGTTCGAAAGACGTCCAAAACGTATATAAGACGTTTAAAAGACGTCTAATTTACGTCCGTATCCACCGGGAAGTAACTTTTCTCCAAGCATCAATTTTATAACTAGAATAATATTAAAGTGGCAGTCTGATCATGGCCTACTTAAGTTACACGGCCTGATTTTATAACGGCTCTAGTATAAATTTTTGTTATTGTTAAGAGTCTTGTTCGCACTTTAATTGTTTTATTTTTGTTTTATTAAAATGGTTTAATAGTAGTTAAATTTTCTTTGAGTACTTACATTATTTTGTGCTGAATTTTTTGTTAACTGATTGCCTGCTTTAGTTTATTCCAATAACACAGAATACTGAAATAGGCTTTCAGATAGCTATATCAACACATACCAACATATATATATATATATATATATATATATATATATATATATATATATATATATATATATATATATATATATATATATATATATATATATATATATATATATATATATATATATATATATATATATATATATATATATATATATATATATATATATAGGGTTTCTCTCAAATCATTTTATTCCAGGGTTTCTCCTCGTCTCTCTAGACTGCAAAAGATAATAACTGCAAAAAAAATTCAACAAAAAAAAACATTCAACAAGAAAAAATTTTTAATTGATTAAATACTGATTATTACTGTTTAATATTGTAATAAATATTTCTGGTATAATTATGTATTAGCAATATTATTAATTTCTTATTTAAATTATTCGTGCAAGTTTAATCCAAGATCTTTTGCGCATTTTTGATCACAATAGCTTTTAGCTGTGGTACGATAAGCATAAATTCCGTAAGTGGCAACGCTGTAGTAATATATGTCAACAGCTTGCAAGCATTTTTCCATCTCGTTTTTTAAAGTAAACCATTTTCCAATCATTTTGAATATCTCCTTTGTAGCAAGTAACAAACGTTTTGCTTCTTCTGTTTTTGTTTTGTTTGATATTGCTTTTTCCCAACCGTTCTTCACTTTTTCATATTTTTCCATCATTTTTTTCCATAAATTAAGATCTCTTTTACTTCGAGATGTTGCAAATTTTTTTTTACATATATTAGTCATCCCAGTTTTGAAGCGAAGATCGCATTCCACTTGACTCCATCCGAACTTTACTCCCTATAACAAAAACATGTTGTTATTTAATTATACTAAGTTAATTTTTTATAGTTTTACAAAATTAAACTCTGTTAGTTTTTTTTTTTTTTTTTTTTTCAATTTTCAGAGTTAAATATAAAACGCAGATCATTTATTTTTAAAAAATATTGATAATAATTATGATGAAAAAAATTCATTAAAAAAAAGAACTTATAATAACGAATAAAAAAAAACTGTTACTTAGCGTTTTTGGAATGATTGCTCAGCAAAGTTTGAGCAAAATCGCTAAAAAAATTTATTCACGTAAAGCTGACCAATTACTCGAAAACGCTGAATAAAAGCGATTGCTTTTTTTATTCACCCGGCCTAAAAACTTTATAACTTTTTGAGTTTTAAAATAGGGAAAGGGCGCCTATGATAGCATACCGGACATATTTTCATAAATTTTGGTTATGGCGAAAAAGTGATTAAACCAACATGTCTGCACTGACTTTACATTAGTTTTAGTAAAAATACGTCCCTTATGCAGAAATATTGCTTTTATAATCAACAAAAATCGATTTTACAATGTGCTGTTGTATTTTTAATCCCTTTAAATATTTAAGATTGTGATTTTACTGTTAATTGTGCAGAAATCAAATTTTCATACGTTTTATTTTCAAGTTTTGTGCATCTAGTGGAATACTTATTTTAATTTTATCTTTTGAACAAGACACACGTAGCTTGTTTAAATTAAAGTGATGACTTCTTCCTATGATGGCATACTGACGAGTTAGGTGTGTTGCAATATTGACGAGTAGAGAAAACCTTTTTTTTTTTCATAAAAACAACATATTTTTTAGTGAAGAAAATAGGAATTTTTACTTCACAAAAAAATTTTTGGTTCAAAAAACACATAAAACACAATATCTATTAGGCGTATGCGCAAAATTTTGTAATGCTACTATGTAGAACAAAAGGGTTAATTAGGATGATTACGCGTAATTTCTGGCATTTCTGAGGGATTCTGAGGTCGAATGAAATCGTCAAGTTACCCTTGATGCACACACCCTCCCCTATGCCATCATAGGAGCAGTAGTTGCCTATGATGACATACTTATGCTTTTTTTAAATAAAAATAATTAATAAAAAAACAAAACTGATAAAAACTCCTAGGGTTATTATTGTTCTACATGTAACAAAGAATGTATCAATATCAAATCTTTTGCTCTCGGTCTTCAGGATACTGAATATTGAAGCTTCAAAGTTAAGTATGCCATCATAGGCGCCTTTGCCCTACTTTAAAAAAATTTTTCTAAACAATTATTTAAATAAAAATATTTTGTTTAAAAAACGCTGTGAATAAAGAAAAAGTAAAAAATTGATTAGTAAGCAAATAATTGTGAAATAACTAATGATTATATATTTCATTTAGTCATGCATTTGTCAGTCCCAAGTTTGGCATAAAACGTACAAAAGAGTAAAACTTCAAATCGTATCTCATCTCTAATAATACTAAAATTGATTACTGAAAATATTTGATGCTGTGAACAATTTAAAACTAAGTAAAATTGATTTATGTAAGCAGTATCTAGTTGAATATTTTATTTAAAAACCCTTTGCATGTTTTTAGTCATAGTATAGAACAACCTTTCCTGATAAATTTATGTTACAAGGGTGTTTACAAGCTTACACGTTCTAAAACTTGGTGATGTATTCTGTATTTCAAATTACAGATTACATCACCAAATTAAAAGATAGATTATCTATTTTTTCAAAATTATTTGTTTATCTTGTTCATTCTTAAACTATTCGATGAAAATAAATCACATTTTTAACTGTTTATGCAAGGACTTTGATACTGTCGATCATTTTATTTGATTAATTGAATTGAATTAAAATTAAACAATTAAATATTGCAGCACAATTAAATATTGCGCCACTTTCAGCCGTGGCGCCGTTAGAGTTCTGTTTCAGAACCTAGAGGTTCTGACCCCAGGTCTAGCCTAATAAGCGACATTGGTAAGGAAGGAGGCATGAACTTCCTACTTTAATGCACTTTCGCGATACTCTGTGATACGCCCGTAAGAACTTTTGGGAGCACCTTAATAATCATACAAAAAAAAAAAGTATTAAAAACGTTTTTATTGTTTTTACTCTGTATTCTTATATTTCTACTCTGTATTCTTATATTTCTATTCTGTATTCTTATATTTCTACTCTGTATTCTTATATTTCTACTCTGTATTCTTATATTTCTACTCTGTATTCTTATATTTCTATTCTGTATTCTTATATCTCTTTTGTTAATTTTTTTTTTATTTAGCGGCTCTAAAAAAATTACGTGGTTACGTAACTGCTAGCCGTCTAAATTATTATTTTTAAAAATGTGGATGGACGTAATTCTGTTTTAATCATATGAATGGAGATTTTCTCTTGTGCAAAGGCTCAAATCTGATTTTTTTTGGAGCTTTAAATCGATGATTTGGAGGAATAGTTTAATAAAGATTGAAACCTAGAAATACAAAAAATATTCAGTTTTCAATTTTTCCAAATATGATTAAAGTTAACTTATTTACAGGCACGCCGGAAGAGCTTAAGGGCAAGGGTGGCAAACCAAAACACAAGGCCACTTGCCAAAATATCAAGCCAATATTTTACTATACATAATATCTCATATAAATAAACCTTTTAATTAACCTTACCGCTGTTCTCCAAAAAATACACAAAAAATGTCACTTTGTCTACTCCTTTTACTATAACGAATCGTGTGTTCAGTGCAATTAATACTAAGGATTATAACATGCTGCAGTCTACTAAATAAATCAATTTTTTATTAGTTTCTTTCTAGATTTCAATAGTACATTTCATCCTATGCCATTCTTAGCTTTACAACGATTTCAAGTGTATTTGGCAAAATAACTCATTCTATTGTCATTTACTTCAACGAACTGTTTGGCAATTTTTTTAATGTTGATTTTGTTGTTTTGTGTATCTGAACAAACATGATGTTGTTCAGGTGACCAGGCCTCCAGTTTTTGACCTAACCCATATTTTTACTCTCCTTATTACACTAAAGCTTCTTTCACATGATGGTGTCGATGTTGTTTCACATCAAAATCGATTTTATAAGTTTAGCGTTAAACGCCTCATCTTTTCTAATGCAACTCAACATAATTTATATACAATCATATTCTCTTGGTATTTACAACTATGACGCAAAATACAGTCATATTTAGTCATATATACAATCATATTCTCTTGTGCATTCTCATATGCTTACACAATATGCTTCTAGATTTTCCCGTGAGTGCGTCGGTAACCCAATGGAATACCGCTTTCGAATCAGTGCAGATGAGTAGAACCTCCATTTTCCAATTAAGGCCAATGTTTAATCCTTTAATTACTGTGTCAAGTTCAGACATGTTTATATGTGTTGTGTCGTCTTTTCTTAACCAACAAGCGTCTTCGATTATATTGCCATCAACCTCGACAACCGCGCCTAGTGCTATTGAACTAGCATTTACCCAAATGATTGCCTCGTTACTGTAAACACTCCGAATTCCTTAGGCAGGATTGTCGTTTTGTGTTCTTTTTATCATATCATTATCATATCATATCATATTATTAAAAAGAGAGCAATCAATAAAGTTTTTAGGTGTGGTTCTGGATGAAAATTTAACCTGGAGGGACCACATAGGTCTAATTGAAAATAAAATATCAAAAAATATAGGTGTTTTGTATAAAGCCTAGCAGTTTTTAAATCTATCTTGTTTAAAAAACTTATATTTTTCTTTAATTCATTGCTACTTAAATTATGCAAACGTTGCTTGGTGCAGCACAAACGCAACAAAAGTAAAAAAACTGTTTAGTAAACAAAAACAGGCTATAAGGATAATTACAAACGTAGACCGTTTCTCTCACACTAAAACATTATTTAATAAACTTAATATTCTAAATGTATATAAACTAAACCTTTACCATATTCTTATCTTCATGTTTAAACTTGATAAAAAAATATCACCAATGTTATTTAATTCACTTTTTGAAAAAATAAACCACATATACCCTACCAGATTTTCAAAAAACAATTACATTCAATCCAAAACACATTATTCAGCAACCAAATTCTCAATTGCAAATCGAGGTCCTAAGCTGTGGAATACAATATTAAATAATGAGCTGAAATCTAATTATTCTTTAAACCAGTTTAAAACAAAACTTAAGCAATTACTGATGATACATGAAAATGAATTAAAGTTCTTCTAAAAAGCTTTTTAAACTAGCAAACAAAAACAAAAATTAACCTACTAATTACTCTTTAATATTATATTTAATATTCTAACAATAGTCTGCTATTGTAAATGTATTTCTTATCTTATAAGTTTTGAATTTACAAACGATTTTTTAAGTTTTATTATTTGAAATACTAATTACTAAAAATATTGTAAAATTTTATAATTTCAATTTTTATTAAAAAAAGTTATTGTAAATTCTTTTTGTAATATTAATACTTATATATCATCTTATTTTACTAATCAGTTCTTAAATATAAATACTCTTTGAATTACTAAATATTTTAAACGTTATATATTTTATTTTTTACATTTTGTTAAAATATTTTATTTGATGAATATGCATTTTTTTGGGGGGAGCTTAATGATAAGATGAATTTTGTCTTCTTCAAGCCCCAGTCATGTAAATATTTGTTTTTATAAATTACGAGTGTAAATTATTTTCAATCGGCAAATACAATACTACTACTACTATTCAGCATTTTCTCCAGATAATTGCATTTTATTTTTTCAACCCACGTTTTTGTTTGCTATTCTTTGAACATATGACGAAGCTACACGCAACCAACCACAAACTGGAAGATTTCCCGTCATTTTTCCGCACAAAGAAAAGATGTTACGTCTTGTTAGTGATTTCGGAATTTCACCAAAATCATTATCTCTTTTCCAACACAACTTTTTATTTTCCATTCCGACTTGTAAACCAAGAACTCTTGCTCCATCAGATACGCGGACCACAGGCTTGCA